AGATGGTTACTCTCTGACAGCATCTGCATCTCCGGGACTTGGTAGCAATGGAGATTCTTGGCACCGACCCCAGGACTACTGAGAACTCTAGGGATAGCACCAGGAGTAGGTGCTCCCACAAACCCTCTGCAAGATCCAGGTGCTGCTCCATTTATACCATTTAAAGTGCCTGGCTTGGATTTAAGATCCACTCCTGTACTCTGGTGGCTATGGAACGAGTTGTGGGATTTTTGTGTCTTGGAGTTTGAGACTCTCTCTTGGATGTGTGATCGAGCTATTTCACTTGAGAACCTGAATTCCAGCAGCTGGACTCCCAGACTGCACACAGGGCCCCTTGCTGTGAAACAACTCCTGGTCCCTTCAGCTGGTTGTGGCAGCATGTTCCCAGAGTAGAAGACTCTGCTGGGCGGGGAGGGAAGAAGCCAACTACTCCTTCCTCCAGGGGCCACGAGCTGTCTGCTGTGGTTCACCCAGAAACTCTTCTACAGGGACTGACAAATGATGCTTCAGAAGGAGGTACAGAGGTACATGGGGGCTGCAGTGAAACAAGGGGGAAATTTCAATCTATTTATCAAAGCTCTGCAGCTTCCATTTCGAGACAGGTGGAAAAAAATAACATGAAACAGGGAAAGAAAATAAATCCATACCCTGAGCATCTCATAAATAAGAAAGGAGTCAGGGAGCTCTTGGCCTTGCCAGGCTCTCAGAGTATTTTTGTCACAGTACAGAAAGCTTGCAAATGTGTCAGCCTGTAATTCAATCCTAGTTATCAGAACCTGTGCTTGTAAACTTATTTTACTGGCTATTAAAAATAAACAAACAAAAGAGACGATTGTTTCCAGGAGAGAGGGCTAAGAAAATGATACCTAGAGCTAAGAAAAAAAAAAAAAAGAAAGAGGGCAAAGAATGGAAAGCATAGTTCACCCTGAATTACAGTTTTTCTCATCTAAAATGTAGTGATGCTTAATAATTCAGGGCAGATCATTGAAAATCAAAGGCAATTTTCTAATTGGCTTTTGTTTAGTAAGAGCCTGTTTGTTGGAAGCAATTAGGACATGGTTTATTGAACATGAGAGAGACTCTGGTCTACTACAGTGTCTAGGAGGGATGGAGAAATTGCAGCTTTTATGGCAGAGGGTGGCTTGCAGGCCTGTTCTGCCTAAGGCAGTGATGTGATGTTGAGTGGAGAGAACAGGACCAGCTGGGCACCTGCCCTGGGTGCTATTGCGAAATCAGCAACACCAGATCGATCAGCAAGGTGACATTGCAAAATTCTAGTTCAGATTCCATGTTCCGAGTTCACATTCTGGCTTGGCCACACCTTGGCCCTGGAACTTTGGCAAGGAGTGGACACTGTCAGAGCCTCAGTTTCCTTCCTGTGAAAGGAAGATGATGATAGTACCCACCTGCTGGGATTTAAGGAGGATGAAGAGCTGGCGTGTAGAAGACACTTTGTACAAAGTGTCTAATGATGCATTATTTTATTGGAGTTGCTGGCTAATAATGATGAGGTTCTTTCAAGGAACCCTGAAGATCAATGATAGTTGGACTCTGTATCTTTCAGATTCTCCATTCAGAGTTAGTCAGTTATAGATCAAAAATATTTTTTTAAAGTTTGCACTTACACTGAACGTTACCCACACTTTTCTTGCTGTTACTCCATGAACACTGTAGCGTAGCAGGTATTTATATGCCATTCACATTGCATCAGGCATCCTAAGTAGCAACAGCGATGATGTACAGTGTGAGGGGGTGTGAGTAGGTCATCCACAGGGGAATGGAACCTCTCCCTGAAGCTACCAAGGAGCTAGAAGGCTTTTTGAAATCAGTTGTATCCTGTTTGATAGTTCTACTGTGTGCCTGAGAAGGGGCCTGACTGAAGGAAGGAATTTTCAACGAAATCTGGATGCAGACTTCTAACAAGACTGATGACCTTTAAGCCATGGGGATTTTTTTTTTCTGGTCAACTTCATTAAAACATCTCTTTGGAATGGCTATTGAAATTAAAATTCAAAGAAAATAGTTCTCACTTGATTTCCTTTTTTGTGTGCGTTTTATTTTTGGAATCGACTCATGGAGCAATGCTAGAAATAGTTCTGAAACCAGTGACATGTTTTTCTCTTTTATGTTGGACTCGCTCAGTTTTGTTGGCTGGCCTGTGTTGCATGGCAGCCAATATTGATTAGCCTACTTTTTTTTTTTTTTTGAAATACGCTTTTCTCAGTGTGTATAAAGATTAAATGCTAACAAGTACCAAAATAAATGCATGTAACCTCTATACTGGAAAAAGTAAGGACACAAGATTGTGGAGACAAATTTTTTTAAAAAAAAAAAAAGACACTCTTCCAAGACCAAATTGTAAACTCCTGGGCCCAGTGCAGTAGCCTAGTGGCTAAAGTTCTCGCCTTGCATGCACCAGGATTCCATATAAGTGCCGGTTCTAATCCCAGAGCCCCCTGCTTCCCATCCAGCTCCCTGCCTGTGGCCTGAGAAAGCAGTCGAGGGTGATTCAAAGCCTTGGGGACCCTGCTACCCTTGTGGAACACCATGTGGGAGGGCTCCTGGCTCCTGGCTCCTGGCTCCTGATCGGTGCAGCACTGGCCATTGCGCTCACTTGGGGAGTGAATTATCGGATGGGAGATCTTCCTCTCTGTCTCTCCTCCTCTCTGTATATCTGACTTTACAATAAAAATAAGTAAATCTTTAAAATGTAAACTCCTAGACAAGGTCTTGAATTCATGCAAGCAGCTTCCTCACCCAGGAAACAGGGACGATAGCAATCCCTACTTTTACTACACCGGCGGTGACACCAAGCTGCAAGGTGCAAGGGACACTAGCACGTACAAAGTCCTCAGCAAATAGGAACTCTTCCTGCTGCTTAGGTTTCTGAAAATGATCGCATTCAAAGCAATCAGTCTATGTATAATGCAGAGGCAATTCTGCTCTTCTTTGTTAAATAAATTATTATATATCCTTTATTGACAAAGCATGTTTTAGACCGAATCTCTGTTCATTTTTGTCCAACATTCTGATTTTTTTCTTCCACTATTGGAAAGGAGTTGGATCTCCCTACCCCAGTGACTATCAAGAGACTCTCACTGCATTGGGCATACTGAATGATTTTTATTTTTGCTAGCTCATCTTTATTCTACATGCATTCCTTCCCAAGAGTTACAGCACTTTGATATTTTAAAACTTACCAGCATTTTAGTCAATGAATCAGAATAAAGTGCTAAATAAAATTTTCAAAATCATGGTGGCACAACCTATCCAAGAAATACGGGCGAAGATGTCCTCATAAGCAGAACTGTAGTGAGTAGGCAGCCGGTTCTCATGATTTTAAAGATTGTTCGTTAGTTCATAAACAACATCTCGCATCCTCATGGGAGAGACAGTTTATATGTCTCCTTGAATAATGTAGAAGAGTGCGGGTTGTTCAGACCTTGGACAGGTATCCAAAGAGGCCTTCCTGTACCAGATTTTTGGGGGAAAAAAGAATATTAACCAAAAATTCTCCCAAAACAGAAATTTTAGCTGTAATAAAAAAAATCAAGGTCAAAATGAAAGTGTGTCACTGCCTGCAAATCCTCTGTATCATGAAGGCAATTTTCTTTCACTCTTTTTAAACATTTTAATTAAACATTTTTATGTGAACAAATAGCATTCTGCGATTTTACTTTTTGTTTGTGCCACGTGTTACTTTGGAAAATGTATGCACAGTGGTTGATGTAACTAATTAGAGAATGCATGCTTGCCTTTTCCAGCCACCAAGAATGTCAGCTAACATCCTTTCTGTTCAGCGTTGTCCTGGAAGTCCGGGACTTCAAGGGCATTCATATTGGAGGCTCATTAGCTTCAACATACAAACCTTCAAGGATGCTACCGAATCAATACCAAGAGCTAATAAAGGAATTCAGTAAAGGAGCTAGGTATAAAAGTCAACACACAACTGTCAGTTTTGTTTTCATAGGCCAATAGCAAGCTCTCTTTAACATTTTTTTTTCATGTGTTTAAGAAAAATAGTGTCTTCCCTTTGGTAAGCCCCATTTGTGTTTGTGGTGATTAATAGTGGAGAGTGAATTCTGCTTTGACTTTTTTAAATTCTTTTTTATGACACAGTTTAGCAGGCATTGGGCTTTCCCCACCCCTGTTGTTCTCCGCTCCAATCTTTCAATAGGTGTATTTCAGGTACCCTCAGAAATTCATCATACTGCCATTGAGGTGTCTCCCAACAGTGCAGGCGCGTGTCTGTCGTTGTGCTGTGAGACCGTCCTGGTAGTGCATGCGTGGGGATATGCTTCTCTCTGTTTCTGACTATGGACATACTGATTGCTGCTGCTAATCTCCTGGCATTTACTGGGAGATCTCAGGCATATGAGGAATTTGTATCAGTGGGGGCTGCTCCCCTGTTAGGTGTATTTGCAACTGTATTTCATTGTCTGGGCATTCTGTGCTGGGTGGTTGACCATAAGGCTAGTTACCATCCTGAGAGCAGGCAGATGTTACGATCTGGAGACAGCTGCCCGATGTGGTGTCTGCTGGTGGGGTTGACCAAGGGTGATGAGGAGGGCTATGAATTATGGATCCGTGTTGGCAAGCCTGGCCAGACTTAACCTTATGCATAAGGGTGAGGGAGTTGATGTGGACACATAGTGGCTTTCTTGGAGTCAGCTTCTGTGTTACATGGTGCAGGTGTGACTCCATTCCTGATCTTTTTTCCCAAATGTTATTTAGCACTCCACCAAAATAATAATTTTTGTGTCATCACACATTTAAGAATAATCCTATGTTTTGATCTCCAGGTAGACTTCTCAATCCCAGGTCTAAAAGCCGGTTTTGCTGAACCTGGGAGCTATACAATGAAGTTTCTGTCCCAGCCCTGATAGGTTCTATCTGACTGATCAGAACTTGCCTTGTGGTTCTGTCAGGAAACTAGGTGCTTGCTGTCTGGTGATGTCTGCCGAACACTTAACCTTGTCAAACATTTGCTTTCATCATAGAATCATGTCAACCCGGCCATGGACTTCACCCAGACTCCTCCTGGAATGCTGGCTCTGGACAACATGCTGTACTTTGCAAAGCACCACCAAGATGCTTACATCCGGGTAAGCAACCAGGCCTTTTTTCCATATTGCAGGCTTCAGCCTTATACAAGTGACTATGGTTAGGGCTTTCATCAATCAGTACAGTGAAAGCATAAATCATTAATTTACTGAAATCAATTCATATGAATAAAATAGGGATTTTTAACTTCAGTTTTTCTGTGTGACTTTAAGAAAAATACAGTAAATGCTGGAAAACCATTTTTACAGATCAGTACTAAATTATGATGAAATTCTTAAGGAAGGGGTAGGAATGAACCATCCACCCAGTATTTTCCCAAACTTCAATGTAGTATAAGCCTCTTTAAGTTTATCCTCAAAGTAAGAATAAGATCCAGGAAATACAGTAATAAACAAAAACAAACAAACAAATTAAAAAAAACCAGGAGGAATGAGGAGGAAGGAAAATGCTTTCTTACATTTTATAACCAGCCAAACCCCAGTTACTTAAATGAATTTGGGAGTTGTTCGGGGATGGACGCCTCTTTCCATCTTGGAGATAGAACATGACACCTGCTGATGCAGCACTGCTGGTTTGAAGAAACCAAAATGTGAGTGTTAGGGACCAAGATGACAGGGGTGTGGCAAACTTGCCCATCACAGCTGCTTTGCCAGTGCTGACTCTTCTCCCCTGAGCCCAGATCCATGATTGAGGCTGGAGGGGCGTTAGTGGGAGGGTAGAGGTGGCAGTGGGGTGAGGGAATGGACAAATTGTTAACATGACGACTAGGTTGAAGCTTAGGAAGCGTTTGAGGGACAAATGACCTAAGGCAGGAAGAGCAAGCCTGAACTTAAAATAAAAGTAGAGCATCTTTTTCTCTCTTTGTCTGCTGGATTCTCAGCATTGCTCATTCTTTAAAGACCTGGATTTGTGACCTGGCAGTGTGATTATTATCAAGTGACATAAATGTGGCCAGTTCATTTTGTCTGGCCTGAAGTTTATCCCATAAATGAGGGAGACTTGAGGGCTCTCAGCTGCACACTATTCTCTCAGGACGCACTGGGAAATGTGTGGATGCATTTCTTTGATTGTCAGCTTGTCCAGTTGGAATGGGCTGACCAAAGCTTTAATGTAGGGCTGTCTGCACAGTACTGCATGGTTTCATCCAGCGATGTGTGTCCCCCACCCACCCCCAACCGTATATAAGCCATGTCAGGTCTCCGAGCTCTCTGTAGGTAATAGATTTCAAATGTAAATGTTTCTCTGTGTAAACGGTTCGGGAAACTTTCATCTTCTCTGAAATATTGTTTGTAATTTCATTACTTGGAGAATTTGATGGCTACATCTCTGAAAGGTTTGGAATCAAGAGCTTGGTTGGAAATGTAGTCCTTTGTAAGAAAAATTGTTTCGTGACACTTTGATTTGATGTATATACTTACTGCACAAGCATCTTCTAGGAATGTAATCTCATTTCATAGTTCATAAATTAATATTTTGTAGATCCTTGGAGAACTGCGTATGAAAAAAGAAGCCAAGTAGTAATTGAATTTACCATGAACTGATGAATGTGTGCAGATGAATGTTTCTAAAATTAGAACCTATTGTGCTGAGCATGTTGCTAATTGTAGAAGAAGCATATGTTACCTGAAAAATAATTTAATGTTTTAAGCTTACTGCCTTCAGTACATTTTGTAAATTGTTATTAGTGAAATTAATATCCTGGTGACCTGGTAGAGCCTTATAACTGATAACGGATTTAAAAGAAGAGTTTGTTTGTAAAGCCATGTGTGGTACTCTTTGTCCGTATGCATGCTGCTTTGTTGGTTATGTGTTTCTCACAGGTCCTGTTTTCTCCAAAAAGTCCTTTCTCTGATGTTTTGTGCGTTCCTTTTGAGTTATAGACACTCACTTCTCAATGTGCAGTTGAACTGTTTGCACGAATGAACAGGTTTAATTGATCATATGCAAAGTCTGAGGTTCCATGTGAGAAAGTTTTGTGGTTGCTATGACAAGAGACATCTTGTGGATAGTGCAGGAATTGTGGTAGTGGTGATTCCAGAGCAATAGTCAGTCACATTTCTAAAAGATTTATTTGTTTGACTGGGAGAGTTATTGAGAAAGATCTAGAGAAGAGATCTTCCATCTGTTGGTTCATTCTCCAAAAAGACTGCAATGGCCAGGGCTCAGCCAGACCCAAACCAAGACATTTATCCAGGTGTTTCATGTGGGTGGCAGGGGCCCAAGGACTTGGACCAACCTTCACTGATTGCTAGGCATGTGAGCAGGGGGTTGGATCAGAAGGGAACAGCTGGAATTCAAACCAGTGGGTCATAGTCAAACCCAATGTGCCACAATGCCAGCCCCAGCTGATCCTTTTTATCTGTGAGCTTACTTGTTTCTTCTGAAACGTAGAACAAGGTTCATTGTTTAAAGTTTACATCATGAAAATTGCTCTGTTTTTTTTTACAAGTTTAATATCCTGTATGATTGCAGTTACTCATTTATTATTGATATTTTTCATTTGGTAAATGTCCTGTTCTGTGCCTGAATATAATCTCCCTTTCTATGCTAGGCAGTTTTACAATTAAGGTTTACAGTTGAGATACTCCCACACACCTTCATGCACACACACATAGTTCATGCATACACATTTACCGTACACACACATTGTTCATGAATCTCACACACACATATCTTCAGACACACACTTTATGCATACACATTGCTCGTGCACCATGTACATCATTCATGCACACACAGTTCATGTGTACACACATCTATTCACACATTGTTCATGAACACACACACTCATACATGTGCCCATCTTCGTGCACACACTCATTGTTCACACAAGCACACTTTGTTCCTGTGCACACACCCCCCCTCATGCACACACACCCCCCTTCATGCACACACACACACACCCCTTCATGCACACACACACACACCCCTTCACGCACACACAACTTCATGCACACACACACCCCTTCATGCACACAGACACACCTTCATGCACACACACCCCTTCATGCACACACACCCCTTCATGCACACACACCCCTTCATGCACACACACACCCCCTTCACACACACACACCTTCACGCAGACACACCTTCATGCATACACACCCCTTCATGCACACACACACACCTTCATGCACACACACCCCTTCATGCACACACACCCCTTCATGCACACACACACCCCTTCATGCACACACACACACACCCCTTCACGCACACACAACTTCATGCACACACACACCCCTTCATGCACACAGACACACCTTCATGCACACACACACACCTTCATGCACACACACACCTTCATGCACACACACACCCCTTCATGCACACACACACCTTCATGCACACACACACCCCTTCACACACACACCCCTTCATGCACACACACACCCCTTCACACACACACACCCCCTTCACACACACACACCTTCACGCAGACACACCTTCATGCATACACACCCCTTCATGCACACAGACACACCTTCATGCACACAGACACACCTTCATGCACACACACACCCCTTCATGCACACACACACCCCTTCATGCACACACACCTTCATGCACACACACACCCCTTCATGCACACACACACACCTTCATGCACACACACACCTTCATGCACACACACACCCCTTCATGCACACACACACCTTCATGCATACATACATCACTCATGCACACACACATTGTTGATGCACAGATGTTCTGTCTTTGCTCTTGACATCCTCCATGCTTTTTTTTCAACCACCTTGTGTCTGTGTGCTTCCAAGTTGTCTTCCTGTCCTGTATTCTGATGTTCCTGCTATTTCCTTGTCAGTGCTTCACTCTCGCCCCTTTCCAGAAGTTGCTTTGCCAGCCTTTCTCTTCTTGCTCTCCAGTTGATATCCTAACAGCCGGGGCTTCCCTCTGGCCCTTCAGCTGCCAATGTCTGCCTTAGCTCTCAACCTTGACAGTTTAAGTAAAAAGGAGGAGAATTAATCACTTGAATACCAGTTTGAGAATTTAAGACTGAGGACAAAAATGAGTAGAATTACAGAGATGATAGAGTTACCTGCACTGGGAGAGTGGATGTAGCAATAGGGGAAGCAGTTCAGCAGAGTTACTTTGGAGCTAGGTCAAATTGCACCTAAGCCGAGGAAGAGGAGTGCTTCCGGTTTGAAGGCAAGCAATGGTGTCTATTAACAACCTAGACATGGCCAGTCTGGGAGGGAGCAGTGAACCCCTGCTATGTGGGACCCCTCGACCTGTCGTGTGGAGCATGAGGGAGCAGCAGTGCAGCCCACACCCATACAGGTGCCACAGGTTCTTTCACCTGCCTCCTTACGCATTGCCATCCCCTCCAATCCATTCATCTGTTTCATTGCAGTATTATCTTAATGACCTGCATGTTAAAGTCTGACATGTTCAAACCCACCATCATTTCCAGCTGCTAGAAAGACAGAATTCTGCTAGAATGAAAGCCTGTCCTGACCCCACAGCCTATCTCTTTGGTTTCATCTCTTGCTGCCCTGGCCCCCCTCTCCTATAGTCTCCATTGCCATGATATGCCTCATTTGCACCAAATGGTGGAGGTTCACTCTGGCTCTGACTCTTCTTCTGCCTGCTGCCCTCCCCACACCATCTGCATGGTGACATACCTCCTGGCAGAAGTCACAGATTTCAAGACTGACTGCCCGGATGACTCTGGACTCTCCATGCAGCCTGTGCCCACCTACAACTTAATCCTTACAACATTCAAACCTTTAAATGCATTTACCATCTATATCCCTAATTGATGATTAACTCTTTGTGAGTAGGCACCAAGGTTTATTTATATTCCTGAAGTCCTGACACAGTGGCCAGCCCATGGTAGCTTTTATTAATTTCTTGTTAATTAGCAAGTGAAGTGTTTCTTTAGTTTTTTTTTTTTTTAAATGGTCTCTTGCCAATGATCAATTTTTTCTTAATTATCTCAGCCTTCATGTCTTGTTAACAATTTAGGGCTGTTTTGGTGGATAATCTTGTTGCTTGTATAATATTTGAGTCAGCCTTT